TCTTCCAAACCATACTGACTTTAAATACAAACACAAGGGTTGGAACTCTATGGTACGGATCCAATACGTGCTACTCGAGTGGCATCCTGTGAATGCGCAAAAAAAATAAATTGTAAGAAACACTGCTAAAATAAGCTAATGGGAAGATTCGATACGGTGTAAGCAGTTAGTTGCTCTATAAACTACCAACATAAAGAAAAAGATACTTCTTAGTGCTCGATACGGCTTAAGCTGTCAGTTACCCTATAAACCAACAACAACACTATGAAGATACGGTATAAACAGTCAACGGACCTATAAACGAACAACACCAAGAAGCAGGTGAAGGCCAGAAGTCGAAAAAGGGATGAACAATATTATAATCTGCTATGTAGGTAAATATTTACATGAGATGCCGTTGTAGGGACTCAATGGGCTAACTGAACAATGGTAAAAAAAAAAATTATAGTAACGGAAAAATAGCCTTATTGTAAGAGATATTTTGAGATGTTTTTTGTCCATTCATGTATGAAAAATACACGGTAAAATAAACGATATAAAAAGAAGAAGCACCGGTTCCTCCACAATATTTAGTGAACACTACAATTATATATAAATAATCTCTTGTCATTAGCCCAGTTTATAAAGTATCCTGACGTTGAGATGAATAAGGAACTTAGTCAATACTTTTAGTTAGGTTAGGTAAGGTTCGTCAGGAAACAGGGCAAATGTTTCCTGACGCGGGTGTTAGTCAGATGATGACCCGCCTTTGGAGCTTTTGGTCATCTGACCGAGGCCTTCCGCTGGCTTACCGGTTCACCATTTTAAAAATTATGGTCATTTATAACTACGTTGATTTAATAATACTTTTAGTGTTTAAAGCTTGTTTAAAAGTATTTCTTATCAGTTAGATATAAATGTTATCACAGTATTTTGCAAAGAATCGCATGTACACAGCTCATCCCTATGATTCATTACCCTCATGTCTGAGGGCAATGTGTGGTGTGAATATAATGCAGAGTATCCGTAGCTTGGAGACTAGGAGGAGGTGTGGGAATTATCCAGAGGGCTGAGGAGGGGTTGTTGAGGTGGTTCGGTCGTTTAGAGAGGATGGAACGAAATAGAATGACTTGTAGGGTGTATAAATCTGTAGTGGAAGAACGGTGTGGGTAAGGGTTGTAAATGTTGCAACAAGGAGAAGGCTGGAGGCAGTGGAGATGTCATGTCTGAGGGCAATGTGTGGTGTGAATATAATGCAGAGAATTCGTAGTTTGGAAGTTAGGAGGAGGTGCGGGATTACCAAAACTGTTGTCCAGAGGGCTGAGGAAGGGTCGTTGAGGTGGTTCGGACATGTAGAGAGAATGGAGCGAAACAGAATGACTTCAAGAGTGTATCAGTCTGTAGTAAAGGGAAAGGGGCGGGGTGGGGGTCGGCCTAGGAAAAGGTTGGGGGGGGGGGGGTTAAAGGAGGTTTTGTGTGCGAGGGGCTTGGACTCCAGCAGGCATGCGTGAGCGTGTTTGATAGGAGTGAATGGGGGACAAATGGTTTTTAATATTGATGTGCTGTTGGAGTGTGAGCAAAGTAACATATATGAAGGGATTCAGGGAAAACCGGCAGGCCGGACTTGAGTCCTGGAGTTTGGGAAGTACAGTGCCTGCACTCTGAAGGAGGGGTGTTAATGTTGCAGTTTAAAAACTGTAGTGTAAAGCCCCTCCTCTGGAAAGACAGTGATGGAGTGAATGATGGTGAAAGTTTTTCTTTTTCGGGCCACCCTGCCTTGGTGGGAATCGGCCAGTGTGATAATAAAAAAATAAAATATATATATATATAATATATTATATATATATATATATATATATATATTATATATATATAATATATATATGCAAAACAACCACTATGAAAGAATAGAGAAATTCCAAGCGCTTTTGTGACTACTCACATTTCAAGGAACTATGAAAGTAAAGCATCCAAGGAAGCTATATAAGGGGTCTGGCCAACACCTCACTATCAGACCACAACGGTTAAACACCTGACGCGCGCCGACCCAACTTGGATAGGTCCTTTGCACAACCACCCACAAACTATTCTACCAAGAAATTTAAAAATTATTATTTGTCCAGTGTATTATTTAAAATTTTTCCCAAATTCTATTAATTATAAATGGATCTAATTTATATAAAAACCCAAAAGGGAAAAAATTCATATTATTGTCAAAATGCTTTTTATGAAACAAGATTCAATTATTATTCCTGTCGACCATGGACTTGCTTGATACTACTTTCTCAACTTTTTGAAAATTTAATTGGATGGTTAAAATCTCTTACAGAATAAATGAGCATTGGAATCTTGTCCAGTTCTAATGCTATATTTATGTTGTTTTAATCTTAGTTCGAGATTTTTACCAGTTTGACCGTAATAAACTTTATCGCAAATTTTACAAGGAATCTTATAGACACATCCATCAGCATTTTGGGGGGAATTCTTTATCAAAAGTTTTTTTTACTGTTTTCAAGATTTTTGAATACAACTTTGATATTAAAAGTCTTAAGAAGAGAAGGCATATCAACCAAGTTTTCATGGTAAGGGAGAACCAACATATTTTTAGTTGAATAAAGTTGGTTGTCACTTTTTGGACTGTAAAAAGTATTTCTAGCAATTTTAAATGATTTATCAATTACATTTCTTGGGTATTTTAAATCATTACCTATTTCATAAATTTTGGATATTTCCTCATCTATGAACTCAGGACTACAAATTCGTAAAGCTCTCAAAAACATTGATGAGAAAACAGACAGTTTGACTCTATCTTGATGCGAGGAATAATAATAAGACTTTTAATATTAAAGTTGTATTCAAAAATCTGGATACAGTAAAAAAAACTTTTGATAAAGAATTCCCCCCAAAATGCTGATGGATGTGTATAAGATTCCTTGTAAAATTTGCGATAAAGTTTATTACGGTCAAACTGGTAAAAATCTCGAACTAAGATTAAAACAACATAAATATAGCATTAGAACTGGACAAGATTCCAATGCTCTATTTATTCATGTAAGAGATTTTAACCATCCAATTGATTTTCAAAAAGTTGAGAAAGTAGTATCAAGCAAGTCCATGGTCGACAGGAATATAATTGAATCTTGTTTCATAAAAAGCAGTTTTGACAATAATATGAATATTTCCTTTGGTTTATATAAATTAGATCCATTTATAATTAATAGAATTTGGGTAGAATTTAATAAACACACTGGACAAATAATAATTTTTAAATTTTCTTGGGTAGAATAGTTTGTTGGTGATTTGTGCAAAGGACCTGTCCAGTTGGGTCGGCGCGCGTCAGGTGTTTAACTGTTGTGGGATCTGATAGTGAGGTGTTTGGCCAGACCCCTTATATAGCTTCCTGGATGCTTTACTTTCATAGTTCCTTGATAATGTGAGTAGTCACGAAAGCGCTTGGAATTTCTCTATCTTTCAGAGTGGTTGTTTTGCATATTCTGAATCACCTGTTTAATGTGATCTTATTGCATATATATATATATATATATATATATATATATATATATATATATATATATATATATATATATATATATATATTGGCAGTTTGGAGGGATATGTTGTGTATCTTTATACGTATATGCTTCTAAACTGTTGTGTTCTGAGCACCTCTGCAAAAACAGTGATTATGTGTGAGTGAGGTGAAAGTGTTGAATGATGATGGAAGTATTTTCTTTTTGGGGATTTTCTTTCTTTTTGGGTCACCTGCCTCGGTGGGAGACGGCCGACTTGTTGAATATATATATATATATATATATATATATATATATATTATATATATATATATATATATATATATATATATTTTATTACATAATATGGCACAGAAGATTTAAGAGATACATTGTTGATATAAAGGTGGCATATATATATATATATATATATATATATTATATATATATATATATATATATATATATATATATATATATACATGTTGTTACGTGTGTATCACGATTATAAGGCGAAAATCTCATCCAGCTCCTCAGAGCGGGGCGTGTGCCCAAAATGCAGCATGCATTACCCTTTGAACAGCCGCGCTGAGCCGCTGGAACAGAAAACTAGCTGCCTGGGATCCCTAGTTACCCTGATGAGTCTTTTTCCCAACTCCTTAAAGGAATTAGATGCACTCTTTCCCCATGAGCCAAGGGTCTCTGAGCCTATAGGAACAAACATATAAACATATATATATATTATTATATATATATATATATATATATATATACATATATTATATATATATATATATATATTATATATATATATATATATATAATATATATATATATATATATTATATATATATATATATATATATATATATATATTAATCATATATATATATTACTATATTATATATATATATATATAATATATATATATATATATATATATATATATATATATAATATACATATATTATATATATAATATATATAAATATATATATAATATATATATATATATAATATTACATATTATATTATATTATATATATAATTATAATATATATATATATATATAATATATATATATATATTACATATATTATATATAATATATATATATATATATATTATATATATATATATATATATATATATATATATATATATATATTACATATATTATATATATATATATATATATATATATATATATATATATATATATATAAAATATATATATATATATATGAGAGAGAGAGAATCATGAAGGCTCTACCTCCTGGTTCACCAGGAGGGGCACATTAACTCTATCATAGTTATTGGTGAGAATAGTGACCATTACTGTTTTAACTGGGTTGAGAAAAGCTTCTCTATGGTAACATTCTCCTTTATCATATTTTTTACCTTCATGGTAATGTTAAATTTTAGTTTGTGGGAAGGAAAATACAATAAATAATAATATTATTAATACGTGGCTATAAGGAATATAAATCAAAAAAATTCAGATTGGATCTATTTATTTACTTTCATTTTAATTTACAAAATTATCTTATATTTTATAATACATTCGGTAAAAATAAACTTTGTAATCAAAATAATATCTATGTTGAATTCTAGAAACACTTCCGATGAACTATAGCTGGACCGAACTCATCATAATCCGCCTTAGTGATCCACATGGACTGGAAGGTGGACAGTGATCCCAGGATGGAACCACCGATCCAGACGGAGTACTTACGCTCGGGAGGAGCAATGATCTTGATTTTGATGGTTGGGGGAGCCAGAGCAGTGATTTCCTTCTGCATGCGGTCAGATATACCAGGATACATAGTGGTACCTCCAGAGAGAACGTTATTAGCGTATAATTCTCTCCTAATGTCAACATCGCATTTCATTATAGACGTGTATACTGTTTCATGAAGGCCAGAGCATTCCATCCCCAAGAGTGAAGGCTGGAAAAGAGCTTCTGGACAGCGAAATCTCTCATTTCCAATCGTCACTACTTGTCCATCAGGAAGTTCGTAAGATTTGTCCAGTGAGGAAGAGGCATCAGCGACTGACTTTTCAGCTTCAAATTCTAATGCCACATAACATAGTTTCTCCTTTATATCCCGCACAATTTCTCGCTCAGCACTTGTAGTAAATGAGTATCCTCGTTCAGTCATGATTTTCATGAGGTAATCTGTTAAATCTCGCCCCGCTAAGTCAAGCCTAAGAATGGCGTGGGGAAGACAATAGCCCTCAAAGATTGGAACACAGTGTGAGACTCCATCACCAGAGTCCAGAACGATGCCTGTAGTACGACCAGATGCGTACAGGGACAGCACGGCCTGGATGGCCACGTACACAGCGGGAGTAGCAAACATTTCAAACATAATTTGAGTCATTTTTTCTCGATTAACTTTCGGGTTAAGAGGAGCCTCTGTAAGAAGAACTGCACACTCTTCAGGAGCAATGCGTAGTTCGTTGTAGAAAGAGTGATGCCAGATCTTCTCCATGTCGTCCCAGTTGGTGATGATACCGTGTTCTACAGGATACTTGAGAGTCAGGATACCTCTCTTGCTCTGGGCCTCATCACCGACGTAGGCGTCCTTCTGACCCATACCGACCATCACACCCTGGTGACGAGGACGGCCGACGATGGAGGGAAAGACACAACGGGGAGCGTCGTCACCAGCGAAGCCGGCCTTGACTATGCCGGAGCCATTGTCCACAACCAAGGAACAAGTCTCCTCATCGCACATGTCTGCTACCTGTAATGTTTATGTACTGTATATAAGATTCATCAACATCTGAAATGCAATTAATTTATGGAAACTTTGTAAAAATATAGATATGTAATGTTTATGAGCTAATTTTGTATTTATAATACGAAAGCCAGACCTTCGTGATGTGTGTTGACTGACTAGAAGAATTGAGGAACAGAGATTATTGATGTGTGGCAAATAAAAACGAGATCTTCTAAAAAGTACGTTGTTACATCTGATACAGACCTAATTGACATTTTCGTCACACTCTATAGAAAGTCAATGATTATGCAGAGTATTTCGGGCAACCTAGGTTAATCTTGTCTCCCAGGAGGTGACCCACAATAGTTCTCTAACACCCAGGCACCTACTTACTGCTGGGTGAACAGGGACAGCAGGTGTAAGGAAACACACCTAACGTTCCTCCCCGTGCCGGGGCTAGATCCCGGACCTTCAGTGTGTGGACTGAAGACGCTGCCAGCTAAACCACGCTCACAATCATCAATCTCATGAAACCAATTGACGCTTTTCGTAAATGTCCGATCAAGTTTAAAATGGCAGTAACTTCGGCATTGTGTCTCGGCCAAGTTCAGAATTTGAACTTCCTAAGTCATGATTTACAAAGTTCATGATAAGCATGTTTGTATTAATCACACACACACACACACACACACACACACGACCAGTGAAGAATGAGAGGAATGGAGCTTGACTAACCACCTCAACATAATTACGCAGATCTTATTTGAGTAGACCCAATGACACACACTTTTCTATTTGCAAATTAATCAGTCTTACACTCACTTAAGACACGTAATTCATTTTACTAATATAACAAACAATTGTATTAATATATGATATTATAATTATATAAATTATATTATTATATATAATAATAATTATCACACACTTAAGACCTTCACACTTACCTGACTCACTGCTCCTCCACATCACCTATTAGGGAATGCTGCATTAATTCGACCAGTATATATTACAGAACACTAGTTATTACTGTGATACCCTCATTATAGACGTAATGTTAGTTATATAAAAATCAACATAAGCATTACACATTTATAAACATTTGTAGACACTTTATTAATATACATCTTCTATTATGTGAAAAAATGTAATGCATATTGTCGCAGAAATAATTACAATATATTATTATATATATATATATATATATATATATATATATATATATATATATATATATATGGTTGAAAAATGTGTCAGGTTCCTGTCCTCTAGAGGGCATAGTCTCGTGTTTACAAGTTTTGCTTCACTTATCTGGTAACCAATAGTTGTTTTTGAGAAGAACGTACCTTGCATGGGTCAGTAGGCCTTCTACAGTGCTCCTCCATTCTTATGTTATATGTAATGTAGTTTATGGACAACCCCCCCCCCTCTCCTCTCCTCCTCCAGCTTCTGTAGCTCTCTGGCCTCTTTCAACGTATCTCGTAGCATGCTAACACCTTCCTGCATATTTCCCCGATCATTTCTTCTTATCGTTCATCTTTCACTGACTCACATGGTAACATACCAAATGGAAAGTAAGTGGCCAGACCTGTGATCACTTTCTTGACTACTATGTGCTTTACTGTCCACTTATTGAGGAATATAGAGATTGTATAATTACCTCTGTGCTATGTCAAGATATCTCTTTCAGTTGATAAGAATCCGAAGTATTAAAGAAATCCTAATATTTGCAACAGATAAGATAATTGTAGATTCTAAATGTAGATTACCTTGTTAACCTTTCGGGGCCGATAGTTCCTCGCTATTTATGTACCATTTTCTTGCGCTACCGATCCACGAATGGTATGTAAGTCCGACGTGAACTGCTTAACCATATCGGCTTTACTGGCCACTATTGGATATTTAGAATTGTATAATTCAAGTCTGTGACTATGTAAGATTAGCTAGTAGTTGTAGAATAGAATCGAGATGTATGTAAAAATTCTATTAGGTTGCACAGATGTGCTGTGATTTAAATGTAGATGATACCTTGTTAGACCTTTCGGGGGTCTGTGTTCGCGACGGGCTTTTGAGACCTATGTTCTTGCGCTTAACCGTCCGGGTAGGGTATTTGATGTGTCATTACGATTTCTTAAGTCAACTAGCCACTTCAAAGTTATAAAATAATCTTACTGACTCATTTCTGCGCATGATATAGCTCAATGACCCCTTTCAGTATAGTTCACTGACCCCCTTCTATGCGTCATGTAATTTACTGACCCCTTCTGACGTACTGAGGAAATGTTGTATGGTATATACCTTAAATTCACTACGTTTGTTGTCGCTGGGCCAGCCTGGCCGCACTGAGGGCCGCTGCAGGAGGGACACTGGTAGTATCCTTCGACAGAAACCTACTGAACCTCACGAAATGGTTTTCCTCACTTTTATAGCAGTGGTTGCAAGAGGGTGTTAAACGTATACACTTGGTGTTGCACATACTTCTGGTCTATATATCCCCTCGCCTCTCAAGCTCTTCTCTCCCTTTCTTAAGCTCTCCTCAAAACCCAAAGTCGGATGCACTGCTTTGAGTATTTGCAATGCTGGAGATTTTCTGCATTCCTGGAGAAAATATAATATCTTTCAGCCAGGTCTCTCAGGTTTTGTTTTACCTTCCTGGTAAGATCAACATCGAGTGTGAAAACACATGAAGAACGTCATGCGGAAGACGGCAGTCAACAATAATCATTGTGAATATTATATGAGATAGCTGGGAATATGCCATTGTCCTGAATGCAAAGAGAGATGCTTCACCGATGTAAACAAGAACAAAGGTATTCACAGTTTCGTTACAGATGGCATCTCAGACGCTCACTGATACTGACGTTCAAGCGGCCATTTTGATATCTTGTTTTGTGTGCTTATCCAGAAGTAAATTGCAAGGATCATTTATTTTCTTTCACGTGAGGGCCTTTCAATCTTTTATTTAATATTATTTATTTTCTGTGTGTATTCACAATAAGTTATTTAATAAATGAGATATAAATGAGTTTGAATTATTGCCTTTTAGGTTACGGAAAGTAATTCTTAATTTAAGAACGTAAGAAAGGAGGAACCCTGCAGGAGGCTTACTGGCCCATACTAGGTAGGACCTTCTCACACCCAAACCTGCTAACAAAACTATTTGTCCTACCCATTTTCACTGCTACCCAAGGAATAAATTTTGATAACTCTATTAACCCATGTGAAAGTCCCACTTAAATCCAATCTCTCTTACTCAAGTATCTAATTTAAACTTGAAGTTACCCAAGGTTTTAGGTTCAATAACCCTACTAGGCAGACTGATACATTCATCAAATATATTTCCAAACCAATACTTTCTTATATCCTTCGTAAATCTAAACGTGTATATACCTCTGATATTACCCAGTTCATAGGCGGCTCAGGAGACAGGTGAGGTCTGACATACCTCAATTATTAGCTAAAATACTTAACTCATCGCACTTTTAATCGAAATTGAATCTACAATTGCAATTTACGAGAAAATTAAGCCAAATCACATTTTTTCTACCTTCACGTCGCTTTTTTCTCCAAGTCCTGGAACTGTCATGTGGTTGCATTTCCCCGGCTCCCATCCTCTTTATTTTCCTCTTATTGGCGTTGAGAACTAACATTTAGTTCTTGGATCAGGTTTCCTTGTAGTTTCTTGTTGTACACCTCGGTTCGTATCCTTCTCAGCAGCTTTTCTGTATCTGCAAGTGTGATGTGTAGATGATTTATTCTGTAAGGAAATTTACATATACCAGAAACAGTGTGGGACCTACGACTAATCCTTAGGAACTCTCACTTTTGTCTAATTTAATGCTTTAAAGGTCTCACCCTGACCGTCTTACCTTCATCTTGTTTGTGGATTAGTCTCTCTAAGACAGGGTTGGATACCTTCTGCCAGTCCTAGAAAACAGTGTCTAGCCTGATTATCTCTAGTTTATCATAAAGTTCCAGTAGGTTCCTGAAATTAATTTTCACTTCTGTAGCCCAGAAGGCTCCACAAATTTCATTTTGACTCGTGAAATCGTAATGACACGATTGCAAACAAACCATACCACGGGTGGGGTTTGAACTCGCGATAAGGCCCAGTGGCTAACACGACGGTCTGGAGTTCTGACACTCTCTGATCGCGGGTTCAAACCCTACCCGTGGTATGGTTTCATTTTGTTTGCGTGTATCGCTTCATTACTTTGTACAGTGTGTATGTCAAGGATACTAAGTTTAGTGCCCTCTGTGTGTGTGTGTGTGTGTGTGTGTGTGTGTGTGTGTGTGTTGTGTGGTGCGTGTGTGTGTGTGTGTGTGTGTGTGTGTGTGTGTGTGTGTACTCACCTAATTGTACTCACCTAATTGTGGTTGCAGGGGTCGAGACTCAGCTCCTGGCCCCGCCTCTTCACTGATCGCTACTGGATCCTCTCTCTCTCTGCTTCCTGAGCTTTGTCATACCTCTTCTTAAAACTATGTATGGTTCCTGCCTCCACTACTTCACTTGCTAGGCTATTCCACTTCCTGACAACTCTATGACTGAAGAAATACTTCCTAACGTCCCTGTGACTCGTCTGAGTCTTCAGCTGTGTGTGTGTGTGTGTGTGTGTGTGTGTGAAGAACGTTGAAATCTCTCTAATTCTAATTATTATTTTACGATATCCCTTTAAGATCATCTGTTAAAAATTCCGTTCGTCTTGGATTACCATATCCTTGCAGTCCTGTTGCTAAAGATAATATATAACAAAAACAAATGTAAATAACCTTACCCAGAGCATAACGAATTTCAAAATTGTTTTTTTGAAATAAATCTATACAGCTTCAGAAATCAGCATCCATGAAGATACATTTTTAGAGCACCTATCACTACCAAACTGTGAAATTACAGTACACTTCCAGCTAGACTTTGTACATTTATTGAACTGTTCAATGCTTCTTGCCAACAAGGCTTTCATTACGAGGTAATAAAGTCTACAAGCATGTCTAGCAGATGTCCCAAGTGCCTGAGGAGTGTGGTGAGTGTGTTGGCAGTGTTAGTGAAGGGTACTTCTCAAGTGGCCAGCCACCTGTTGACACAACCATCAGAGGAGTCTACCCAGATGTGGTTCCATCTCCTCACACACAATATATATACCGTGAGGTGTGTATCCCTGGGTATAAACAGTATATATGCTTAAGGTTTACTCTTATCCTGTTATACTTTAGGTATTAACGTGTTTGTGACTGGTTGTGAACTGGTTACATACAGCTATAATGACCATCTTGTAGTACATACACTTTAAACCCCATTAATAACCTCGGTGCCAGTTACCTATTATAATCAATACTACCTTACGTTCCTTGATGCTCATAAAGGGATCTTTATCCAAAGAAAATTGAAGGTGGTGGTGACCCTGGCAACTAGCCACACGAGACACGTCAATCACTCACCACACACACACACAAGCTCCAGCTGGTGTGGAACAGAAGGTCATTTACCAGCTGTACGACCTAAGACTATATCGTAAGGAAGTGGTCAACGTCGTACAAGTGACATGTGTCATGTTAGTGTCATTTCTCCTCTGATTATCACCTGTCATTTGATTGTCATCTGACTGTCACATGTCATTTTCCTGTCACCGCTGGCATGACTGTCAGCTGTCACGTGGCGAATGACAGAAGGGAAGTGTCAGTGACAGTCCTCGTTGGAGTGTCATAGAGAGCACCGGTGGTACTACCCTAGTGGTACCTTTGTACCTTAACAAAGGTACCTAATGAATATTACCTTAACAAAGGTGGCGTATCAGTAGTGTTTTACCGAAGGTACCTCACCAGTAGAGCTATACCAAAGGTGCATCACCAGTAGAGCCATACCAAAGGTACCTCACCGGTAGAGCCATATCAAAGGTACCTCACCGGTAGAGCCATACCAAAGGTACCTCACCAGTAGAGAGATACCAAAGGTACCTCACTAGTAGAACCATGCCAAAGATGCATCACCAGTAGAGCCATACCAAAGGTACCTCACCAGTAGAGCCATCCCAGAGATACCTCATCGGTCGAGCCATACCAAAAGGTACCTCACCAACAGAAACTCAATCCACTTATATACATCCAGTTTTCGCCACAGAAAAAAGAGAATGAACAATTAACCAATTAAAAAAATCCAGCACCTTCTTAGGCCTACGAAAAAGAATATATATATATATATATACAAAAATATTCGGCCTACGAGACTACATGTTTATTGTATCCAGGGACGTAGCTACTATGAAAGTAATTAATCTTAAGCCTCAGGGCCGCCTAATCCCGGAGGGGCCCTCAGAAGCCACTTTAGTCCACATTGTTTAAAAATTTGGGGTCTAGTTTATAAGAAAGAGTCACAAGCGACCCCCATAACAGTACAAGCTTCACAGCTTCAAAAATGTAGGTCCGCTACTAATTATTTCCCTGTTTCTTAATACTAACCTTCACGTACAGAAACACACATTCATACGTACAGAAACACATATTCAAACGTTAAGAAACACATACGTACAGAAACACACATTCATACGTACAGAAACACATATTCAAACGTACAGAAACACATACGTACAGAAACACACATTCATACGTACAGAAACACACATTCAAACGTACAGAAACACACATTCAAACGTACAGAAACACATACGTACAGAAACACACATTCATACGTACAGAAACACACATTCATACGTACAGAAATACATACGTATAGAAACACACATTCATACGTACAGAAACACACATTCAAACGTACAGAAACACATACGTACAGAAACACACATTCATACGTACAGAAACACATATTCAAACGTACAGAAACACATACGTACAGAAACACACATTCATACGTACAGAAACACATATTTAAAAGTACAGAAACACACATTCAAACGTACAGAAACACATACGTACAGAAACACACATTCATACGTACAGAAACACACATTCATACGTACAGAAACACATATTCAAACGTACAGAAACACATACGTACAGAAACACACATTCATACGTACAGAAACACATATTCAAACGTACAGAAACACATACGTACAGAAACACACATTCATACGTACAGAAACACACATTCAAACGTACAGAAACACACATTCAAACGTACAGAAACACATACGTACAGAAACACACATTCATACGTACAGAAACACACATTCAAACGTACAGAAATACATACGTACAGAAGCACACATTCATACGTACAGAAACACACATTCAAACGCACAGAAACACACATTCAAACGTACAGAAACACATACGTACAGAAACACACATTCATACGTACAGAAACACATATTCAAACGTACAGAAACACATACGTACAGAAACACACATTCATACGTACAGAAACACATATTCAAACGTACAGAAACACATACGTACAGAAACACACATTCATACGTACAGAAACACATATTCAAACGTACAGAAACACATATTCAAACGTACAGAAATACATACGTACAGAAACACACATTCATACGTACAGAAACACACATTCAAACGTACAGAAACACACATTCAAACGTACAGAAACACATACGTACAGAAACACACATTCAAACGTACAGAAACACACATTCAAACGTACAGAAACACATACGTACAGAAACACATTCAAACGTACAGAAACACACATTCAAACGTACAGAAACACATACGTACAGAAACACACATTCATACGTACAGAAACACATATTCAAACGTACAGAAACACATACGTACAGAAGCACACATTCATACGTACAGAAACACATATTCAAACGTACAGAAACACATATTCAAACGTACAGAAACACATATTCAAACGTACAGAAATACATACGTACAGAAACACACATTCATACGTACAGAAACACATTCATACGTATAGAAACACATATTCAAACGTACAGAAACACATATTCAAACGTACAGAAACACACATTCATACGTACAGAAACACATATTCAAACGTACAGAAACACATACGTACAGAAACACACATTCATACGTACAGAAACACATATTCAAACGTACAGAAATACATACGTACAGAAATACATACGTACAGAAACACACATTCATACGTACAGAAACACATATTCAAACGTACAGAAACACACATTCATACGTACAGAAACACATATTCAAACGTACAGAAACACATACGTACAGAAGTACACATTCATACATAAATAATCCGTACTTAAGACACCATTTCGGTCTGACTTGGACCACTGACAAGCCACATCAATGTTTCTCCAAGTCGACAAACACCAGAGTGCCTGTCGACAATATACTGAAGGTTATAGACCAGAAACTAATGCCTCTTCAGGACGAACTGCAAGAGCTACCTGGGAAATTCAGTTCCTCGACAAAATTAGGTAAATTATCTGTCTTCTTAGCAGTAGGACTACTGGTTTATACAAGACGTGATGTGAATAAACGGTTTAGAAAACCGAGTAAGTGTTCTGGACAGACATATAAGTCTTCTTGCACGTCTTCAGGTTGACGTTCACGCAGGAGTTAGTAGGTACTTGGATGTTAATCGTCTGTTGTGAAAGGCATCCTGTGCGAGAGGTAGGAGGGTGTTAATCGTCTGTTGTGAAAGGCATCCTGTGCGAGAGGTAGGAGGGTGTTAATCGTCTGTTGTGAAAGGCATCCTGTGCGAGAGGTAGGAGGGTGTTAATCGTCTGTTGTGAAAGGCATCCTGTGCGAGAGGTAGGAGGGTGCTAATCGTCTGTTGTGAAAGGCATCCTGTGCGAGAGGTAGGAGGGTGCTAATCGTCTGTTGTGAAAGGCATCCTGTGCGAGAGGTAGGAGGGTGCTAATCGTCTGTTGTGAAAGGCATCCTGTGCGAGAGGTAGGAGGGTGCTAATCATCTGTTGTGAAAGGCATCCTGTGCGAGAGGTAGGAGGATGTTAATCGTCTGTTGTGAAAGGCATCCTGTGCGAGAGGTAGGAGGGTGTTAATCGTCTGTTGTGAAAGGCATCCTGTGCGAGAGGTAGGAGGGTGCTAATCGTCTGTTGTGAAAGGCATCCTGTGCGAGAGGTAGGAGGGTGTTAATCGTCTGTTGTGAAAGGCATCCTGTGCGAGAGGTAGGAGGGTGTTAATCGTCTGTTGTGAAAGGCATCCTGTGCGAGAGGTAGGAGGGTGTTAATCATCTGTTGTGAAAGGCATCCTGTGCGAGAGGTAGGAGGGTGCTAATCGTCTGTTGTGAAAGGCATCCTGTGCGAGAGGTAGGAGGGTGCTAATCGTCTGTTGTGAAAGGCATCCTGTGCGAGAGGTAGGAGGGTGCTAATCGTCTGTTGTGAAAGGCATCCTGTGCGAGAGGTAGGAGGGTGCTAATCGTCTGTTGTGAAAGGCATCCTGTGCGAGAGGCAGGAAGTACCTCTGATCTCTGGGATAATAACTTTTAAATCTTAATGATGCGACGAGTACAAAATAAAAACAACGTTTTAGTATGTTAAAGGAGACGGGGACAGGTCCCTGTCCATTCTCCTATATATATAGACTTCCTCAGCTTCGTCTGTTAGTGTGATGACGGTTCGGTCTAAGTCGGACCGAAGCTTCGTCATAAGCCTCTCTCTCCCATGTGCGGGTTATTCGTGTATTGTTCCAGTCACGGTATTATGTTTTTTTGTTATTTAACCTTTATTTATGGGAATTTTGGGATGGGAAATTCTTAAGACGAGGGATCCTGTGTTGAAAAGCGTGCAGAAATGATTTTACACGCCGGAGAGTTCTTAGACTACACGCCAGTACCCAGTGATTCAACAGGTGTGCGGACTCCGCGTGGTGGACAGGTGTAAACACACGTGGGTAACCAGAATAGCCACGTCAACTTGTGGTAAGTTTACCTGGGGCTCTCTCAGTGTCAACACTGTGCTCTCAGTGTCAACACTGTCAAACACTGTGCTCTCAGCGTCAACACTGATTGTACTCTCAGCGTCAACAATGAGCGCGTTCTCAGCGTCAACACTGATCATGCTCTCAGTGTCACCACTGGGTATGTTGTGTTCTGAGTTGCAGTAGAAGGTGGTAAGTGTTGCAACCTCAGGAAACTTTTAAAAATCTTGTAGGAGAATGTAAGCACTGTAGACTGGATACCACAAGATATATATCTATATACTTACTATAAATACACAACACACACACGCACAAGAGCTAGGAATCTATCCCTGCAACCACAATTAGGTGAGTACACACACAATGTAAACATGTACCGGCAGAACTGGAACCCACACACGGTCTCAGACATGTGGGGGAACAAGGTCCTTGACTCCCTAATTCAGAACCCTTCACGAAAGTATATTAAAAGGCAAAATAACTCAGAGAAATTGACGAACTGACACCATCGTAAAGAAATATTAAATTTTAGCAGTCCTTCAGAACAAGTGATCATTATGTCCTGACATGATTACAGAAGCTAAACAAATAGGTAAAGTTTGTAACGAATTATATTGGCGTGTAGGAAGAACGACTACGAAAGAATGAAGCATATTTTTGGTTTAATAAGTATTCCAACCAGAATCACAAGAGAAAGGGTAGATCGAGGAGGGAAGCTAGCAAGAGCGCCATAAATTCCCAAGACTGGGAGAGGAGGGAGGCTGCAAATAATCGAAATGGACATAAAAAGCAAGGCAAAGATAGAATTTCGGCGGCATCTGTAGCCGAGTGGCCTAGAGCGTCACTTGAGGAGTTTTTTCCAGCCTCCCTGACGTGGTTTCGAATCCTGCTGGTTTACCTGGAGAGAGTTCCGGGAGTCAACGCCCCCGCGGCCCGGTTTGTGACCAGGCGATATTTCTTCGTATATACCCGCCTGTTTGTTAATATATATATATATATATATATATATATATATATATATATATATATATATATATTATATATATATATATATATATATAATGTTCAGGTAAGAGTCGAGGTGTGATATTGACATGATTATAAACAACCCATTGAAGTGACCTGGTGTTCGAACACAAGGTAAACCAGTGTGCTGTTCCATGACGGTTTGAACACTTTCGTTCACTGAGTCGTTCATGTGCTCTTGACTGGTGTTGTGGAGGCGGTAAACAGTCTAAATGACCCTCGTGTAGTCGACAGGCATTAAACCTGACAAGCCAGCCTATGAGAGTGTTGCAGTGTGAGTCAAGTCATCAATGAAGGTGTTGCAAGGGAAGTCATGCCATCACTGTCGGTGTTGCAAGATGAATCAAGTCATCAGTGACGGTGTTACAAGGTTAAGTCATCAATGGCGGTGTTGTAAGATGAGTAATCAGTGACGGTGTTACAAGGTAAGTCATCAATGGCGGTGTTGTAAGATGAATCATCAGTGACGGTGTTACAAGGTTAAGTCATCAATGGTGGTGTTGCAAGATGAATCATCAGTGACGGTGTTACAAGGTAAGTCATCAATGGTGGTGTTGCAAGATGAATCATCAGTGACGGTGTTACAAGGTTAAGTCATCAATGGTGGTGTTGCAAGATGAATCATCAGTGACGGTGTTACAAGGTTAAGTCATCAATGGTGGTGTTGCAAGATGAATCATCAGTGACGGTGTTACAAGGTAAGTCATCAATGGTGGTGTTGCAAGATGAATCATCAGTGACGGTGTTACAAGGTTAAGTCATCAATGGTGGTGTTGCAAGATGAATCATCAGTGACGGTGTTACAAGGTAAGTCATCAATGGTGGTGTTGCAAGATGAATCATCAGTGACGGTGTTACAAGGTTAAGTCATCAATGGTGGTGTTGCAAGATGAATCATCAGTGACGGTGTTACAAGGTAAGTCATCAATGGTGGTGTTGCAAGATGAATCATCAGTGACGGTGTTACAAGGTAAGTCATCAATGGTGGTGTTGCAAGATGAATCATCAGTGACGGTGTTACAAGGTTTAAGTCATCAATGGTGGTGTTGAAGATGAATCATCAGTGACGGTGTTACAAGTTAAGTCATCAATGGTGGTGTTGTCAAGATGAATCATCAGTGACGGTGTTACAAGGTAAGTCATCAATGGTGGTGTTGCAAGATGAATCATCAGTGACGGTGTTACAAGGTAAGTCATCAATGGTGGTGTTGAAGATGAATATCAGTGACGGTGTTACAAGGTAAGTCATCAATGGTGGTGTTGCAAGATGAATCATCAGTGACGGTGTTACAAGGTAAGTCATCAATGGTGGTGTTGTAAGATGAATAATCAGTGACGGTGTTACAAGGTAAGTCATCAATGGTGGTGTTGCAAGATGAATCATCAGTGACGGTGTTACAAGGTAAGTCATCAATGGTGGTGTTGCAAGATGAATCATCAGTGACGGTGTTACAAGGTTAAGTCATCAATGGTGGTGTTGCAAGATGAATCATCAGTGACGGTGTTACAAGGTAAGTCATCAATGGTGGTGTTGTAAGATGAATCATCAGTGACGGTGTTACAAGGTAAGTCATCAATGGTGGTGTTGCAAGATGAATCATCAGTGACGGTGTTACAAGGTAAGTCATCAATGGTGGTGTTGCAAGATGAATCATCAGTGACGGTGTTACAAGGTAAGTCATCAATGGTGGTGTTGCAAGATGAATCATCAGTGACGGTGTTACAAGGTAAGTCATCAATGGTGGTGTTGCAAGATGAATCATCAGTGACGGTGTTACAAGGTAAGTCATCAATGGTGGTGTTGCAAGATGAATCATCAGTGACGGTGTTACAAGGTAAGTCATCAATGGTGGTGTTGCAAGATGAATCATCAGTGACGGTGTTACAAGGTAAGTCATCAATGGTGGTGTTGCAAGATGAATCATCAGTGACGGTGTTACAAGGTAAGTCATCAATGGTGGTGTTGCAAGATGAATTATCAGTGACGGTGTTACAAGGTAAGTCATCAATGGTGGTGTTGCAAGATGAATTATCAGTGACGGTGTTACAAGGTAAGTCATCAATGGTGGTGTTGCAAGATGAATCATCAGTGACGGTGTTACAAGGTAAGTCATCAATGGTGGTGTTGCAAGATGAATCATCAGTGACGGTGTTACAAGGTAAGTCATCAATGGTGGTGTTGCAAGATGAATTATCAGTGACGGTGTTACAAGGTTAAGTCATCAATGGTGGTGTTGCAAGATGAATCATCAGTGACGGTGTTACAAGGTAAGTCATCAATGGTGGTGTTGCAAGATGAATCATCAGTGACGGTGTACAAGGTAAGTATCAATGGTGTGTGCAAGTGATCATAGTGCGGTTCAGGTAAGTCATCAATGGTGGTGTTGCAAGATGAATCATCAGTGACGGTGTTACAAGGTAAGTCATCAATGGTGGTGTTGCAAGATGAATCATCAGTGACGGTGTTACAAGGTAAGTCATCAATGGTGGTATTGCAAGATGAATCAGGTCATCAGCAGCTGATCAAATTACACAACACAGAATTAAAGTATCCTTGACTAGAGGTGAACAGGTGACAAGCAGCCTTAACTACCATTGTGTAGTCGATAGGCTTTAAACCCCACTAACCACCAAACCAGTCAACCTGTCTCTACCAATATTCGCAAACTATATATAAACAGACCTCATGGCAATAATCTTTTTTACGTTGTTGATCAATTTCGAGTTTAAAATATCAGTCGGTTATCTGAAGTTCTACTGAGGAAGTGATCTTAGCGTTAATGTCCGCGTCAGGAGACGTTTTTCCCCGTTATTCCTAACGAAGGTAACACCAGCAGCGTCTCCATCGGTCCACAAGGACGGGCGTAGCTCTCTCTTGGTCTGGCTATCGTCAAGGTCAG